TAATATGGATACATTATCTTTCACTAAAACTTTAAGTGAAGTATACGCCAAACAGTTGTCAACAATTAGGACTATGTTTGAGTCGTCAGGTAAACCAACTGAATTCAAATGTTGCCAAGCCTCGAAAATAAAATGATTTTCTAACCAATCATTCATCAATGCTTGTGTCATCCATGCTCTTTTATCTGCGCGATATATAACGGGGAAAATCGTTACTCCTTTAGATGCTCGAGGTCGTGCATGTTTTCCGATTATGAAAAGTTTATACTTGTGTATTCCTGCAGCATTGCACATGCTAAAATTGTTAGTATCACTTTAGAATCTTTGACACCAGTTGGAGCCTTTTCCGTAGAGGTTGCCAAGGTATTTCGTGGTACATATTGCCAGAAAAGACCAGTTTCACCAGCATTGTAAATTTGTTCTGTAGATAATTGTTCACTAGTAATGAATTCCAATGAATTCATCTGCAAATTGTTCAGCAGCTTTAGTATCAACTGAAGCTTTTCCACCTTAAATTTTGAATTGTCTTATACCATGGCGATTTTTAAATTTGGTTAACCAACCTGCCGAATATGTCCACTCAGTGTTCAAGTTCATTTCTTCATGAAATATTTTGGCTTGAACCATTAGTATTGGACCCATCAATGGCATGCACTTGCTGCAGCACTGTCTGATCCACTCAACCATTACATTGACATGATAGTCACTTTTAGCATAACGAAAACTTTTTCTGTTATTCATTGTAAGTGGTGTGTTGGAATCCACAAAAAATTCAAAAAGTTCCTTTTTTCTTATGCAATGTACAGTTCATGCCCTACTCCTCGCATAATTTTTAGACGGATATGCCTTTATCAATTTTTTGCAGCAATTCCACTTTTTGTGTAATGGTCATCGAAACATGCTTTCGCTTTGTAGATTCTTTAGCAGCTCCAGAACTGAAACTCTTTTCGACATAATCGAAAGTTCAAGCTTAATAAAATTCTTCTAATAATAACAGTCTGCAAAAAATAATAAGCTGGATCAAATTAGAAGATTAAGGAGCAGCACAGTCTGCTGCATTAACTGAAATTCTTTATACTTTGATACACAAGTAATTATACACGGTTTCTACTGATTTTGCAGCACTTCCCTATAAAAATGAGATAATTCCACAATGAGCATGGTGAGACTGAAATGCTTTAGAATCAGTAAAGATAATTTTAGCCTAGCTTAATAGCATCCATTATATATTATTGACTGTGTAACAGAATATTGGAGATGAATGCCAAGTTGTTCCGTTAAAATTTGTCTTGCTCCTACTGCATACTGTATTAAGCCTAAATTATAATAGTTATTTACTATACCTAAGTTTACTTCTTGCACAAGCTTAAAACTAATCTGAGTCCTAAACATATAAACTCCCACATATACTTAGGCTTTACCAAGCCCGGTGCTAGATACCGCTCAGTGCAGTCTCTGTGGGTCCTAAATTCTGCTACAAAGCACCTTTCGAAGTTCTAAATTTTCGTCACGCCTAAACTTTGAATCTCAGTGCTTTAGCTAAATTATACAAAACTTCTCATCTCTTAGTTAACTGGTGCTTCTCTAAATTCCACAAATTTTGTCTTCAATAAATTCTGCCGTCCAGTGCGACCACTTCTGCCGCCGCTTCTGGGTTTATGGTGAATAACAAATCAGTTATTCTGAATTAAAATAGCACTAAATGTAAGTTTTTGGCCTATGAGTTTCATTAACGAAATCTATTTTTAGCATATGAAAAGAAATTTTTGTTGAATTTTTCCTTGCCAACATTTCTTAGAGCATTTAAAAATCTATAATCATCGCCAAGCGTAATGTTAGCATAAAAGTTTGCCACACTCTTGTTATTCAATAAAAAAAGCTTAGACACCATTGCATGAGTTATTACTGAAGCTGTCATGTATTGACAAACATGCAGTGATGAAAGCAAAATATAATAAATAATGACTCGCCAATTTGGCATCAGGGATATAAAATAGATGAATGTTTCAGTTTGAGATGTATGCCAAGCAGACACTCAGCTACGGAGCCAAATTATTAACCCCTTAACGCATTTGCCAGTGTCTCACACGGGCGAAAGTTTCCGGACTTTGCCCGTGTCTCACACTGGCGCCCGTGTATCTCGCGTTTTTTTTTCTAATGCTTGTCTGAGATCTGTTCCATAAAATAAATAGGCTAGATTTAATTAAACTTATTTGACATAGTGGCACCACTATTCAGCATTTTTCTTGTGTAAACCACGTGGCGCATTTTGATGATTGCTATAAGTTTGCTAGGAATTTTTTGCGATAAAGTAGTCGTTTGGTGCGGAAAAGGTAATATATCCATTTTTTATTACGTAAATATAATAAAAAGTAAGCAGTTAACTGCAAATTATATTACTAAGTGTTTTTGTAATTTAAAAAAAGTTATCTGATAATGAGCGACTCTGACGATGACAATTTTTGAATATGCCATTTTCTCAGACAGTCAGCATAATGATGATTTTCTTGAGTGATGGAAGTGAATCGAAGATAATGACAACAAGATTTTGGATATAGCAGAATTGATATCAAATTAGTATAAATCAACCAAACGTTGCACCACCGAGATTTTCGATTTGAAGCTAACCCTGGCATGATTATGCAAGAAAAAAAATAGGTGATTTTTTTGACCGAAAATTAGAAATTAATGTGTGCCTTATGGGGTTAATCTCACACACACACACACACAAAAAAAAAATAAAATAAAATAAAATAAAATAAAAATAAAAAAAAAAAAGATATTTGTGGCTTTGAGGGTTGGATTTTAGATCATTCTGGATAATGGACATTCGGATTTCGGACTTTGTACTGTATTAGCATATTTTTATCAGGGTTTATCAGTATAGCAGTGACAAACTTTCAGGAGAGATAGAGTACACCTAGATGATGGTGAAATTACATAGCAATGCATGGTTGGAAACACGTTCCTGGCATAGTAGTGATGACACAAAAATCAAGAAAGAAAGGACACAAACAGGGTGAGAAGACATGTTTATTTGGAGTACAGCAACAATGCTGCTAAGTCTTTGGCTGGCATATGCAACAGATGTTGCTACTTAAACTGAAGTATCAGATGATGGTGCACACACAAGGTTGTTGCTGGCACATTAACTGTGAAACTTCATTTCGGCTGCCGACAGAGTTGTAGTAGGATGGAATGCTACACAACTGTTGAGCTTGCTAATATGCATATGGGGCAGCTGATTACAATGGATGAGCTGCACAGCGGTTGTACGTCTAACGTTACCCAAGGAGGCAAACTCCCAGTTGCACTTTCTTTGCACTTTTGCACCAGAGATTTTTCGAAAGTAGATGCTTCTTCATTGTGGACACACAGCAACATGAGCAAAGAGTAAGGATGCCAAGCAATGATGAGACAGTGCTGAATCTGGTACAAAACAACCTTGGTACTAGTATCGCTCGTCAGGTCGGGATTTCCCATATGATCGTCTGGTGGATCCTGCATACTAACATGAAGCCCTATCACATCTAGCGTGTGCAGTTACTGGGCCAACGCAATTTTCTTTCTTGATTGGCTTTTGCCCCCTGGTATGTTGAGATGCTTGTAGGAGATATCTGTTTCCCAGACACTGTTTTTTTCACCGATAAGGTAACCTTCATGTACAAAGGAATCTTCAATTCACATAACACCCATGTGTGGTCAGAGGAGAATGCACATGCAACAAGAACCCATGCAGCCCAGAAATAATTTTCCGTAAATGTGTGGGCCAGCATTGTAACAGACCACCTCGTCGGGCCATATTTGTTGCCCCAAAGTCTGACAGGTGCAAACTATCTACTCTTCCTTCAGCAGGTATTGCCCCAGCTGTTGGATGGTGCACACATCAATTTCCAGACCTCACTTGCCTTGATTACTTCTTCTGGGGAATCTTAAGGCACTGGTGTACGAAACTCCCATTAACAGTGCTGAAGAACTTATTTCACACATCATGGCAGCTGCTGGGGATGACCAAGACACGTGAGGTATTTATGCTAACGTTTGTAAATGCACCAGAGATGTGAGGCCTGCATCATGGACCGGGGTCATAATTTCAAACACCAACTTTGATCGATGTCTCGTTATGCTGTTTTTTCCTTGTTGTTGTATTTTGAATAATAAACATGTTTACTTACTCCATTCGTGTCTTTTCTTCTTGATTTTTGTGTCATCACTAACGCGCTAGGAAAGCATTTCCGATCATGCATTGCTATGAGATTTCCCATCGTCTATGTGTTGTACTCTATCTCTCCTGAAATTTTGTCACCACTGTACTGATACATCCTGTATAATTCCTTTCCCCTAAATGAGTAATACATTTTCACATCTTTTGTAAAATGCCAATGCTTACTATTGTATCAATTAAACATAATGATCTAAAATATTTTTATGAAAACATTTATTTCCCAACATTTCATAAAATTTATAATTTAACTAATATGGAAAATAGTTATACTATTTAGAGTTTATAATAACGATTTGGAAAGATTTGATTCCAGTGACAAAATGACATTAGCAATTATTTTCAGATATTTGGAACATTGATTAATTTAGGCTATTCAAATATAGCCACGGCTCTCTGCCTAAGAGAAGGGATGACTTAATTTAAGACTTGCTAAAGGAAATTGGGTTGTATTCATGTTTAACATGGGAAAAACCGTGAAAATCAACCACGCAGTCAGCCTTTTGCCTAGGTTCGAACCCAGGTCAAACTATCAGTATTCATTTGACCACTGGTGGGGTAATGAGAACTCTGGCACTTGAAAATATGTGTTATTCTTGAAAAAAAAAATTAAGCATCATTACAAGTTTTAATTTTCTTTTGTGAGATAGTGACGCTTTCTAAAATTCTATTACACTTGAAAAATAATAGTTACATAGCAAAGCATTTCCAAAATACAAGAGTATGAGTTAGAACATGAATGCTCTTAAGAATAAAGAAAAAATAAAAATTTACTCACGATTCTACAGACAATGGGAAATCTTCAGACTGAAATATTTAAAATTTCCAGTAATTAAACAAATAAAAATTGTAACCATACAAATAATATATTGTTCAGCTTAACCCTCTGACTGCTTAAATGCATGATTTCCACAGGCAATATTGCTCCATCCACAGTATCTACGGGCGTGCATTTGTTACCTCTATTACAGGGCGTATGACGTGCTACAAAACATCATAGGAGAAAACATTGCAGTTCTAAAACATCGTGGTACAAAATATCGTCGTCGAAAATAAAGCGGTTAAAAAACTTTGCAGTTTCAAAACATCGTAGTAAAAAATAAAGTACCTACAAATCATCACGTGACGATAATATCACAGACATGCTTTTTTCAGGCTTTAATAATTGTAAATGGATACTTCCATAAGGATTTGTGAACTCAAGATGGAAAAAAGGATAATTCTTCCTTATATACATATTTTTCAAATAATAAATTTTTGCTGATAAAGTAAGAAGGAAACTTAAGCATAGAAAATTAATGCAACTTATAGCACTTAATAGAATTTTTAACCTACATAGCTAACTAAGAAAGGTCATTAATAAATAATTTTTTATAAAGTTTTTACTGGTAATTTTTTATGAAAAGTATAATCTAAAACAGATTAGAAAAAGGAAGGTAAGTAACTGCATGACCTTATCTATAAAAAAAATTGCTAATTTAATTGAGATTATTTTCTTCACTTTTGTTAATCTAATAGTCTTATAGTGAAAATTATTTCTTGTTTTGTTTCAGTTTATTCTTAAAGTATTATTAAAATTTGTATGCACAGCATGCAGTCAGTTCCTTGAATGTTGATTTGTTAGTTATGAAGAAAGTCAGCTATATAATAATTCAGTAGGGTTTGGATTTGTTAGATTATGCCAAAGCACACTACGGCTATCTGCTTAAGGAGCGGGATTCATTTGTTGAGCTTTTTTGTTTCTTAAAAATAATGTATACTTTCAATGAACCTTCTTGGTGACTATCTCCCTAAGACGAACAGTGTTTTTGAGAACAACAAACATAGGTTTTGATCATTATGCAAGTTCACCACATCCACACAAGATTAAAAAGATATGGAATTTTGAGTGGTCGCTTTAAATTGGATTACTTACTATTATTTTTAGATTTAGGCCGCCTAGACTGTATAGTGGTTTGGGGAGCCAGGCTGCGATGCCATAGGTCCCGGGTTCGAATCTCGGAGGAGGCATGGTTGTAACTGTCTGTCCCTTCATAGAAGGCAAAGGTGACCCACCTATTTGGTGCCTCCGTAACAAAGTGATCATCACTTCTGGCCTTACTAGTGGCCAAGCTGAAGTCGGCTGAGGGCCCGCCATTGGTACAAAAAAACTTTTAGATTTAGACATTTCTTAATAAGAACTTAAAAGTATTTTGTTTAACTTTTCATATACATTTTACTCGAAAATTTTGTAATTACTCATTGAACTTACAGTGACCAACTTCCTAAGACAATTTTAATGTTTTTTTTCTGTGTTTCTTATTTTTTCAGAATATCTTAATTTTTGCCTTCAGAAATCTGTAGCGAAATTAAAATTAATGTTTCTGAGTGAGATTCTATTTTGCATCGATTCTTTGTCCTCGGAATTCTTTACCAAGCAACTTTGAAGTGACCAATTTTTCTTGTAAATTTTTAATTAAAGATCAAATTTAATGAAACAGAAACTTAATTAAATTTCCCTTAAATTGTTTTCAAGGATAAAAATTGCACACATTTTACACTGACTTTTATTTTTAGTGACTGAAACATTTCAAGTACAATTTTTTTGTACTTAAATGACAAATTGTTTGGAATAAGAAATGTAACTTTTTTATGTATTATTTTAAATGTTTTATAAACATATGATTTTGAATGCAACCATAACTAAATTTTAAAATCTGAGTTCACTTCATGCATGATTATTTTTTAATTAATCAGAAAGAATATTTTTTAAATAAAATTAAAGCATTTAGTATTCTTCACATTAAACTAAAAGCATCTAACACATTTTGGAAAAAGATATCTTTAAAGACATTTTTTCCATAGTTTACGTTTTAAATCAAACAAAAATATCTTTTTCATCTTTATAGTTAGCCATTTGTTATACTTTGACATACGTTCTCTTTAATTAACCCTATTAGCCACTGGTGTTGCGTTGACGCAACGGCCAAAATAAATGCGTATATAAATATAACTACCATTATATACCAGCAGATGATTTTGTGTAGGGAATATTAGGAAGATTATTTCTGTAAAAAAAATATTTGCCTTCAACAATCATTTTGTTTATAATAATTAATCTCATACTTTAAGCAAAATTTTCGATTGGATATTTTTGATAAAAATATTTAACGAAAGAATCGCCATCTCTATGAGTGATCTATTTTTAGTCAAGGTCACCGTTTATCAGAACATTACATCAGTCAGATGTTTATATTTGTGTTGGGAAGCAAGGAAAAACAGGTGTTGCGTTGACGCAACATCAGCAGGAAACGGGTAGTCAATCTCCTTTTTCACTCATTCCTTTCGATGTTCTGGTTGTTTAAAAATGCCTAGAATGAGGTATGTTACATTAGAAGAAGCCCTTCAAAGATTTTTTGATGAAGAAACAGATGATGATAATGTTAATAATGACCAGAATGAAGCTGATATTGTTGTTGTTCCCCCAGAAATTGCAGAGACTAGTGACGAAGAAGAAAGGAATGGCAAAGTTTTAAATAATAATAATGATATTTTACCAAATGATACTGCTAAGGAAGTTGAAATTCACGTAAGAAGTAAGTTTCAGCCTTCTAAAAGCAGTTATAGTCATACTAAAAAGTTTCAAAAGCAGAAGACTGAAATCTTGAAGTGGATAAGAAAGGAACTGTTAGTTATGTCTCAGGAAGAACATGAAGAAAGAGATAGAAGAGAAATTATAAAAGACAAAACACAAGGTAAAACTAGTGCACAGATTTTCGATTTTCTTTTTGGTTTAGACATTTACTCTCTTCTCATTGAACAGACAAACATATATGCTCAGTTACAAAAAAAAAAAAAAAAAAAAAAAAAAAAAAAAAAAAAAAAAAGGCAGATTTTATTGCATCTGAAGCCTATATGAGAAGATTTATTGGAATATTATTGCTTACAGGATATCATTCTTTACCTCAAGAAAAAAATTTATTGGTATTTTGATAAGGACATATCTGTTCCTGTTGTATGAGAATTGATATCACGTTTGCAGCACAGGAATATGAAGCAGAATTTGCATTTGACAATAGTCAAATTGACAATACTGATAAATTATACGAGGTGAGATCGTATCTAAACTTACTAAATATCACCACATTTTACTACTGGAAATATAAAGTCTCTTTTAGAGTTCAGACGCGAGAATGCATTATTCCTTTTACAAACTCCTATTGAGAGTGTAGAATTAGCCAGAAATAGATCAGCAACAGGAAGACCTAGTAAATTCAGCATTCAAAAACCATTGCATGGAGATGGTAGACATTTTATCGAAAAGTCCGTTGATAAAAAAAGACTGTTGTAAAGAGTACCATAGCCAGACTGTTTACAGATGCAAAGTATGTAATGTAGTTTTACATCATGATTGTAATCAAGCTTTTCATGCTTGAATCTTTCAAATGAAATAATCTGTATTTGTAAAAGAAATACAATGTATATTTTAATATTAAATTAATTACAAGTAAAGTGATTTGTAGATTTATAAAATGTTATACAGCTAAAAAGTTATCCTGCCCTCCACTCAAAAGAAACATCACACGAGTACAATCCTACTCACTAAACATCTGTAGTCTTATTCCGCTGACGTTGCGCGAACGCAACACTCTCTTTTTCCACAGGTAAGAGCATTTTTATTTTTTTTTATTTTTAATGTAAATTTATGTTATAAATGCTTAATTTAATATTTGTTATTATTTTCATGAGAAAAGAAACATTCCTTGTAGTTTTGGCGGTTAATAGGTTAATGCAAGGCTTAAAGTATGTTAGTTGTGGTTCATACTATATATTAATACTTGTATATACTCGAATCATTTTTTTTTGGGGGGGGGAGTATTGCTTTGCTCTTTTTTGTTAATTTTATTGTTGCAACATGTTTCATTTTTATATAGTGGCGATGGTGTGGGAGTGTGAGAAGTTGTATATAGTCCTTATTTATGTGAAATATTGTCCTCATCAATTTTTGTAGTCTTTATTATATTGTACATTGTGCTTATATGTTTTGGTAATAACCATGGTTTCTTACTGATCCTGCAACTCAATTATTTTAATGCATGCTATATGTTAGTGCATATTTCCCACTGAAAATATATTATATATCTCTATTAATATAAGTCTTCAACATATTAAACACAATTAAATCAAATTTACTCATGAATCTATGAATTTTGATGAGCAAAAATTTATAATTTTACCAGTGATATAGTGCAGAATATCAAAAACAAAGATGTACAAGTTGTCAAAATAATAAAATCTTTAAATGAAAGGAAAAATACTTTTTTGAGGAGTTAAACAAATTTAACAAATGGCATTTGGAGAAGATGATTTTGATGCTTGAAATCTGAATAACTAAATACTGAAAATTTAAAAAAAAATCTTAAATTGTTTAACCCTCTCAGTCCCAATTTATTTGTTTGTTTCAACTGACTGGATTTTTTTTATGTATTCTTGGTAATTATCACAAATGACACAAATGAAACTGACAGCCTGTCACTAAGCCTCCTCTATAAGAGGCGCTCGACAATTTTTTAGTGGGGATGTTAGAAATGATGCTTACTACCAATGGGACATCAACTAGTAAATTGATCCATGTAATTTCTTTAAACATCTAATGGGACTTCTATAATCCATTGGGACTGAAAGGGTTAAGGGAATAAATTAAATGTTGTATTTCACCACACTTAAACATTTCAGTACACTGATTTATGAGTTTTTTACAAAAATTCATTTTTTAATAAATGATTTAGTTTCACATTTTATATTTAGTTATTTTATTCATAAAATGA